CATCGGTTTCGCACTCCAAAAATGACGTCATTTTAATTTTTGATTTTTGATTTTTTGATTTTTAGTTTTCACCCCTTTTTCATTTACCTTTATGCACCCAAAACCCCTCAGCTCCACACGGTTGGAAATTGGACTTTTAGTGACGTTTAAAAAATGTCGTTATATTTATTAAAAATGTCGCTAATTCTTTTAGTGGCGTTTTGTACCAAACGTCGAAGTTGCGGCCGTCGCTGTATCTTTGCGACGTTTTAAAAACGCCGTGATATTAGTATAGAAGGTGTTTTAATAAACGCCGCCAAATGTCCCACTATACACTTGCTGACGTCACCAATAATATTTAGCGACGTTGTTGAAACGCCGTGGTATCTGTTTTCAAAAAATATTGACAGTTTAGAAGGCGTTTGTAGAAACGCCGTCATATCCCCTCTTTTTTTTTTGAAAATTGTACTAATTTTTATTTGATTGAATTAAAAAAATACCTGTTTCAAATAACAAAAAATGAAACATTAATTCAGTTTCTTATTCAATTAATATCCAACTTCCATTCAAATACAATAACTCCCATTGAAATAATAAATGAAGCATAAAATAATCACTTGACAAAAAATAAAAAGAAGAAAGCACAGTCTCAATGAACTCAATATGACTGAACTGTATGTATATGATAGCCACGCAAACATAAATTAAAAAATATAATAAACGAAAGTCAACTAGTATTATCCTTCACTCCCTAATAGAAAAAAAAAATCACAGACAAAATAATTTGGAACAGCAAAATTTTAAGACTTCTATGCTGATAAGGTTCCAAGAATATAAGAGAGTCCAAGACCAAGGGGGCTATCATGGATACAATAGTAGGTAACCCTTTTCAGCTATGGAGAAAGTACTGGCTAGCCTGTATTCAATTCTGTTATATAGAGATTTCCCATCTAAATTGTCAATCAATGGTTTTGCAAGTAATCAAAACTCAGGCTGTTGACAGTAGTAAGGGGCCTGCATGACAGTTAAATTAATTGGAATTCATTAGATTTAGATACAGAAGTTGCACGAGGAAACAGGTGGAATAGAATTTAACTTCCATATACAAGATATGAAATTACTGATATACCTTTGAACAATGCAGTCAAAGATGAAAATGGAATTATATCATTCTAAAGTACAAAATTGAGTATATCTATTAACAACATAACCTGACATCACAATATTAGACCGTTTTCTAAACCAACTACCCAAATTTCCAAGATGTGCTCCTATCAAAAAACCTGAGTTTAAGGTAGAAACAAAATGTAGCACTATTACAGCATTAACACATCATATAATAAGAGAAGACATAAAAATAGATGGTGATGGTCTTCATATCAAATACCAATTGAGGCCATACTCTCACAATCTGTCAACAAGTTCATTTTGGTCCAGAGTCAGTCAGCCAAACCAGACCCACTGATCCTATGTTCAAAGTATGTTTCGGAAATGACTTCAAAAAAACGCGTCTTTGATGGCTGGAATAGAGCTCAAAATTACCATAAACCTAGAAATCTAACAGAAAATTAAGAAATGATGAAGCAAAAGGTTTAAATTGAGCTCTATACATGAACATACAACTAGAACAGTGAATAAACATACATAAATACAATATTTGAAGGTGGAGAAAAGTGAGATCGGAGATCTGTACCTCAGGCTACAAAATCTGGAGGTATATGTATGTGAGTCTGTGTAAATTTCAGAGGAAAATCGAGTGATCTGAGACTTTTTAGGACAAATAGAGAGAAGATGAACAGATCACAAAAAGTGTGGGCTCAGACATGTATGACCCTCTCTCTCTCTCTCTCTCTCTCGTGGTCTACTTTGTCTCTCTAGTTTCTCATCCGGACTCGAAGCAAACGTTAAATCTAGCTCTCAAATGAAACCAAGAGGAGGAGAAGAAATTGGACAACATTTTGATATATTATATAACATAGTTTTATACTATAATATTAATATAATATATAGGTAAATAACTATATTATAATTATAATAATACCACCTACAGGACCAAAACCTGGGTATAAAGCAAGCACATCAACAAAAATGGCTGTTTGACTTTTGTGGTTCCCATTTTACCCATCAACCACACATTGGGTTTTATTAGTAGTTAGGGGCTGTTTAGGATTGGAGCTTCTGCTCAAGCACTAAGAGAATCTTTGCACCCGATATTGAGGCAAAAACTGGTATACTGTTCTGTGGAAATTGCTATTAAAGAATGCAAATGGTGATGGTTTGGTGTCATTTTTTGTTTTGTCGCCACAACCTCTTCTTTCTTCCTACAAATAGGATGGGGAAAAAAAAGAGAGAAAGAAAAATAAAGGGCAAGATAAAAGAAAAGAAAATAGAAAACTTGGCTTCTTCTAGAGTTTATTATTAGTCAGTGTTTTCTAGTTACTCTTGGTGTCTAATAACTGTTACATGAACTACAGGAACTTTGGGAAGAAAACTTGAGTATGTTTCTCAACTAATTGTACCCACATAATTTATCTAGTTCTTTATAGCATTGAGTATGTTTTCCACCTAGGAAAATTTAGTATATAATTATCTAGCAAATTGAGGACTACATAGATAAACTAAGATGCAATAAGTACCATGTTTGCTAATGTGTGTTGGACATTCTCACAACACTGTTTCTTTTTCTTAGACACTTTCCAAACACAATGTAGGAGAAGAAGAATAAACCATACTTGTGAAAACCACTTGATACTTAAAAACAATGTATATGATTTATGAATAACATCATTCTCAACTCAAAAAAGCATTTGCCTAACATGTCTTTAACACTATTGATTTATGAATATTATTATCAGCTTAAACTAGTGATGTTAGTACTTTTACCTTGTTAGTTCTTCTTCTTCTTCTTCTTCTTCTTCTTCTTCTTCTTCTTCTTCTTCTTCTTCTTCTTCTTCTTCTTCTTCTTCTTCTTCTTCTTCTTCTTCTTCTTCTTCTTCTTCTTCTTCTTCTTCTTCTTCTTCTTCTTCTTCTTCTTCTTCTTCTTCTTCTTCTTCTTCTTCTTCTTCTTCTTCTTCTTCTTCTTCTTCTTCTTCTTCTTCTTCTTCTTCTTCTTCTTCTTCTTCTTCTTCTTCTTCTTCTTCTTCTTCTTCTTCTTCTTCTTCTTCTTCTTCTTCTTCTTCTTCTTCTTCTTCTTCTTCTTCTTCTTCTTCTTCTTCTTCTTCTTCTTCTTCTTCTTCTTCTTCTTCTTCTTCTTCTTCTTCTTCTTCTTCTTCTTCTTCTTCTTCTTCTTCTTCTTCTTCTTCTTCTTCTTCTTCTTCTTCTTCTTCTTCTTCTTCTTCTTCTTCTTCTTCTTCTTCTTCTTCTTCTTCTTCTTCTTCTTCTTCTTCTTCTTCTTCTTCTTCTTCTTCTTCTTCTTCTTCTTCTTCTTCTTCTTCTTCTTCTTCTTCTTCTTCTTCTTCTTCTTCTTCTTCTTCTTCTTCTTCTTCTTCTTCTTCTTCTTCTTCTTCTTCTTCTTCTTCTTCTTCTTCTTCTTCTTCTTCTTCTTCTTCTTCTTCTTCTTCTTCTTCTTCTTCTTCTTCTTCTTCTTCTTCTTCTTCTTCTTCTTCTTCTTCTTCTTCTTCTTCTTCTTCTTCTTCTTCTTCTTCTTCTTCTTCTTCTTCTTCTTCTTCTTCTTCTTCTTCTTCTTCTTCTTCTTCTTCTTCTTCTTCTTCTTCTTCTTCTTCTTCTTCTTCTTCTTCTTCTTCTTCTTCTTCTTCTTCTTCTTCTTCTTCTTCTTCTTCTTCTTCTTCTTCTTCTTCTTCTTCTTCTTCTTCTTCTCTTTCTTTGAAAGGTGAACCTATATTTAATCAGAACAAGTATTTTAATTAATAAGATATTGTATTGTCAAAAAAAACTTTGATTAAATGATTGCTCACCTCTTGGGATGAAAATGCATGAGATTGTTGTTGATGTGACATTGGCCGTACAGTGGGATGACTACTAAGTGAATCAACAACCTATCATTCAATAAGAGGCTTAAGTTGTATAGTAGCTCTGGGCAATTTAAACTAATAACTAGTAAAAATAATGAAAATACCTGCTGCCTATGTAATGGGTTCGAGGGTGCAACAGCTGGTGCAACGGGCACGCCCGCAGCTTGCAATTGAGATTCCAAAATCTCAATTCGTGACTGAAAATCTGCGCGTATAGCTTGAATTTGTTTCTCCATTACGTCATTCATCTTCGACTCTAACTGCATTTGATACTGTTGAAGTTGCTCTTCAACTTGTTCTTGAACTCGAGTTTGGAAGATATGATTCTGCTCTTGTGATTGCCTATATCTACCTCCAAAAACATCGGTGGGGGATGGTCCCAATCCAAACGTCCGAACACGACCAGGTCGCTCCGGCCCCATAACTTGTGTGAAAATCTGTTCATTTAATGCAGCAGGGTCTGAAGAAGATCCCTCCATGTGCTCCGTTAGCTCATTCATTTGAGTCTGCAATTTTGAATTCAATAATTAGCATCCAATATAAATCATATTAAAAGTCTAATAAAGTAGTATCACATACCATAACTTCATTAACTGAATCACTATTGGAAGTACCATCTTTCATGTATACGGCCATCCACACCTATGGCCGACTAGCAAGAACCCCATTGTTCTTTTTTGTCTCTTGTAAATAAAAGATAGATAAAACAAAACATTAGAGTATCGTATTTCCAACTTCACATTTGCGTCACCATTGCCACTGTTATTATAGCCACCATAACTACCACCACCACCACCCTTTTACCTCCAATACACCACCCCTCTACCACCCCTCCATCATCACCACAAACCACTATCCCTCTACCCTCACCTCAATCACCCCAATACAAAAATGAGAAGATGAATTTTAAAAATAATAAATTTCAATTTTCAATCTTATACATATTAAACTTGATTTAGTTTAGTTATAAGTTGAGCTAGCTAAGTTATAAGTTTATCTTAAAAACTTAACAAATTTCAAAATATGTCCAAGATGTAATGTCTAATTATACCTCCACTCGAACTATTGAGAAAGGCTTTCGGCCTGTTCGATGATGCAGTGTCTTCTTCTTCCGAATTTTTCTATTCTTCTTACTTGATTTCTGTTAAATATGAAATTCATTTGAGATATTATCAAAAATTATCATATATAAACATTTTTTCACATAAATAAAATTGTACCGATGCACTCTGAGTGCCCCAGTGGTAGACCAAGGCCCGCCACTGATCCTCATGTACTCTATCCGGTCGATGAGCCAACCTTTCTGAATCATTCTTGAAGGGTGTGTATCCCATATTTTTCACGCGACTTTTCCAATCTCTTCATTTCTTCCTAAATGAAGTCATTATTGTTCTCTTCATGGAATCATCTGCATTCGTATGAGCCTGCATTACAATTATACACACTTGTAATATGCAATGTCAACTACACTTGTAATATGCATTTCATATGGAATCCAATTGTAATATGCATTTCAACTTATTTCATATTAAATATCTGGATTACCTTTATCTCCCTCCATATGTTATCTTTATTTTGCTGTGGGACATAATGCCAAGTCGTAAAAGTGAGTGGTGCAAGACTCCCATCTCGTGCCAGAACGCCCAAATGTGAAGCAAGGGGTGTGTATCCTTCAACTACTTGATTCAACTCATTTGAAACAAGTTTTAAAATGCCATCATCTGAAGTACCCCATTGACCATGTACATATGTGGGACCCCTTGTCTGCTTTTGTGTGGCTTGACTTGAGCTAGGACCTATAAAAAAACAAAAACGGGGCCAAATAATTGATTTAATATAAATATATATATATATACTACTGTAACAGCAAGAAAATGTAAATGTGCATGTGCATGACCATCATGAATTTTCAGCGTCAAACATTCCCATTCTCCAACCACATTTTAGTCACCCTAAATTACTTTATATAACAAAGTTAATCAAGTAAGTTGACTTTAACACATTTTTAAAATATTGAATTAACACAAGGAACTTTCACTACTATAGCCCCTCAATTTAGATTTAAATATATATAGCAAGCATTTCAAATTGGAAGATTTCTTCAGTAAAAGACAAATGTCATTGTCTAAAGACATTCACTTCTTCCTTTAAACTCCAACCCTAATCCTAATTCATCTACCCCTCTGTAACAACCCTCGTTACTGATTACTGATTAGCCGCTGATTACTGCTAAACTGAGATTGATTACGATTGGTAATCGAACTGACTGAAATCCAGAACTGACTGACTGACTGTATCTGTTTAAAAGCATTGTCTATCTGTTTGACTGCCAAATTATCTGTTTATGTCATATGTATTAAACTACAGATTGAAGGCCTTATCGGCGGCCGAATCTGAAATTAATTGATGTTTGTGACCATTGGAATTTATATGATTTTTTGGCATATTTATCTAAAATGTGATTTAGTATGACTAAATTAGATTAAATAGTGGTCAATTACAAGAGTTGGACTTATTTACTATTCTACCACTTAGTGGCCCACTATATGGACCATCTTTGAATCATATTACACTTCATTCAAAACATTTCCTCAGCTCATTTTGAGAGCATAACCGAACTAGAGAGAGAGAGAGAGAGAGAGAGAGAGGAGATAACTTGATTTCATTGTGAATTGGCTTAGAGAACTGGAAGATTTGAAGTGTAGATTGCCCATTTGAGCTTCATTTCTTGAACTACAAGACCTAAGGTAGTGTAATTACCCTCTTGTTATGAATTGAGCTTGTTCTTGCATGATTCATGTCAAAAGTAGTGATTTGAGTATAGAACTAGCTTAAGTTGTTGAATTGAAGCTTAATTGTTGCATGCATGTTTATATCGCTAAGTTTTGAGGTTGTAGTCATAATTCCTCACATGCATGTTCATGTCTTGAGAGTAGATCATGAATTCATCATGTTTTTGGAAGTTTAGACTCATTTGAACTTACTTTGGAGCTTTGAAGTTGATTAAAGCCATGCATGTCACATTTGAGTTGTTGTTCTCGAAACTTGGTTTGAAATCATGTTTAATTGAACTACCTTTGGGCTTTGATTTCTCAAATTGATCTTTGAAACATGTTATACTATGAGTTTTGAAGTGTTTTCCTGAAAATTAGCCCAAAAGGATCGAATTTGATGCATTGGAACTTGATTTGAGCATTGGAGTTCAAATCTGGATTTTCCAGATTTTGGTCTCCCGCTCGAGCGGGGAAAGTGAAGCTCGAGCGGGGAATTCGAGCTCCCAGCATCTTGCACTGTTTTACAGTCCGCTCGAGCGGATTAATGTACGCTCGAGCGGAGACCTTTGTCAGTATGTCCGCTCGAGCGGGGGAAACCCACGCTCGAGCGGGAACTCTGATTTTCTGAAAATGTTTTCTGAGTGCATCTTTGCATCCTCTTCCCATTCTAGGCATTCTTAGGCCTAGTTTAAGACATCTTAATGAGGACATAGATGTAGAACACATCAAGGCAAATTAGGGGTTAAGTTCTTATCTTTCCCAACTGTGTAGCTTAGTGTGTGTTTGATCTGTTGACTATGTAGGGTTGACTTCCGAGGAGACGCTCTAGCTTACTATAGCCCAGAACTCTGTGAGTAACGATTGTGTAAAGATATGTTCAAAAATGATATCTTCTGAACAATTAAACTGAACTGTTTCTGAACGGTATGGTTAACTGAATGAATGAATGCATGACCTATATTCTGAACTGTATTGTGGCATCCTTAGCAACTACTGTTACTGACAACTGTTACAGAGATCTCTGTTCGTCCCATGTTGGAACCACTACTGTTTACTGATATGATGGCCATCATTCACTGTTTGGTCTATTAAGACCCGGTCTATTAAGACCTACTGTACTGTTTAGCTACTGGATGTACCACATATGACTGTATAATCTGTGAAACTTGGAGCAAAGTGCTGCACGGAACTAAGTGCTACAGAGTAAGCCACCTCTAGAATCTGTGCGAGACACCTCTTGAGTCAAAACGAACTGTACTGCTACTGTACTGTTATTTTATTGTTACCGTTACTGCTACTGTACTGACACTGCTACTATTACTGCTAACGGATGTGCCACGTACGATTACTATGATTTCTAAATGACTGTTACGGCATCAATATGAGCCACAAACTGACTGACCGATATACTGAATCAATGGACTGTTTTAAATATTGAAAAGACATTCATCCTAAACCTCTTTACGTATTATGTTATTCACTGGGCTTTAGCTCACTACTCATATATATATGTAGGTGTTCAGGCACCGGACCGCTACTAGGAGCGTCAGGCTAGCTTTTGTTTTGTCAGTCAACCACTGTGCCTCACCGTGAGGTTTCAGGCCATTCAAGCTTCGGCTTTGGGGTGTTTTAATATTCCTCGTCTGTCTCTGTAACTGTTTTGTTTACTGTATAGACTGTATAGACTATTACTGTACTGTTTAATAGGGATTAGATCCCTGTTCTGAATGATTGTACTTGTATGTGTAGACTGTCACAGCTCATTGGACATTGTTTATTTACTGTATTGGCTTCCGCCAGGCCCTATACTCTGTTTTACTGGATTACTGTTAGGCAGGCCTTCGGTAAGCTCGGATTACTGGCCGGTTACGGTGCTAAACCCATAGGGCCGGGTTTGGGTCGTGACACCCTCCCACCACCCCTGCCAGCTCCCCATGTTTGTATGTATAATAAAGTCCAACTTACATATAAATTGGTGAATATATGCACAGTATTAGCATTGGAAGCTATATAGAGCATTAACCATTGACACCTCTCCTCATTAACACCTCTTTATGTTTTATGCATTCTATGATCTGTTTACTCTCATCTTTATCTTTTTACTTTTTTCCTTTTTTGTTTGACATTATTTTTAAATCTAAATTGAAGAATATCCATACAGCATTAGTTCAAATTAGCAAACATTATTTTTAGATCTTTAGAGAAAACAAGCACAATTAAAAATATCTATACATACCAGCTGAAACTGAGCCATGTGATGTACTACCGCTACATGATGTGGTAGGAAGACTGCCTGGTGGATGCCATGATGCCAGTGGATCGGTATGACTCTCATCTTAAGTGTGGCATGAGTCTCATCTGAACTAGAACTATTAGAGCTTGATTGCTCACTCTCACTAGAAGAACTCTCGGAGCTAGAACTCATAAATAATCTATAAAGAAACTACAAACATAAAAGTAAGGACATGATAATCTATAAAGAAACTGCATTCAAAACAGAATAAGAGTACATGAAAGGTAAAAATGGCCATTTAAAGAAAACTACAAAGGTATAAAAGCAAAGATTTTATTAACATGAATATCCGTACAGAAAACACAAATGTAAAAGTGAATATACAACCAATTACAATATCATATCATTTCTTCGTCATCTTCAAATGGTGCCTCTGTCGATGCTTCAAGAGATCCAATAGTTTCATCAACAGTTGTTCCATCAAAACCTTGCCTAACCCAATCCATGTCCTCCTCACAAGTGAAGGAAGCTATATCTAACTCTTGATCACCAAATCCTTCCACTTCGTTGTGATGTAGTCCTTCATCAATAGTTGGTTGTTCTCCACACACCTCATACAAGTCTCTAGGTTTCATCTTGAGTACAACATTCCAATCTTCATCAACAGAATCATTAACATAAAAGACTTGTTGTGCTTGAGATGCTAGGATGAATGGCTCATCACTGTCTTGTTTCTTCGCATATAACAAGTGATTGAAATTAACAAGTGTAAAACCAAAATCATCCCGCTTGAGTCCCTTATTGTTGTCAATCCAGTTGCACATGAATAACATGTATCTATGGTCATGTGAGTAATACAATTCAATAATATCTGTCACATATCCATAGTACACTACATCACCTTCCACTGGATTAATGTCTTTCGCACTTGCATAGCTAGAAGTCTTTGCCTTCACCATAACCCCACTATTCTGAGTTTTTCTTCTCAACTCACGACTCCTAGTATGATACCTAGTACCATTAATTATATACCCATTAAATCTAGTGGCCTTTTGGCTAGGTCCCAAAGCCAAAATTTTGATCGCATCTGACAACGCTACATTTTCAGTAGCTAACAGCTCTGCAACCTATTTTTAAAAGAAAGTTATCAATATTAAACATCAATTAACAACTTCAAAAATATAGAAACACGTGTATTACAAAAATATAAAAGACTTGTTGTGCTTGACATGCACTTACATGAGAATTGAACCATTTGGGAAACTCATCATTGTGACGACGATCCACATCATAATCTCTGAGACGACGATGTGACCGCTTAATAAATTCACGATGTTCCCTACACAATTAAACTACTTGTAAAATGCAAGATAATTATAGTTGGTATAAATACATTCACGATGAGACAAAGGTTGTGTCTATCTTACTCTCGATATGGGACAACCGCAGCGATGTTAAATAACACATACCGATGAGCCTGTACCCATGTTGTGTTATCAAGCACAAACCCTTTTCCTTTTCCTAAAGCCCGCCCCATCAATATCTCAGGATTGTCGCTAACATCACAATTCCTTAACGGTCGATGCAATTTTGACTCAACATCATGCAAGTACCTTGAGCAAAATATCATACATTCTTCGACTAAGTATCCCTGTGCAATTGAACCTTCAGGATGACTTCGATTACGCATGTATGATTTAAGCGTCATAAGGTACCTATAATCAAAAAGATGCATACATGACTTCCAAGTATTAACAAGCAAATATATACAAAATGGACATTGGAGTAGAATTACACACCTTTCTACAAAGTACATCCATCGATATTGCACCGGACCGGTAATCTTTGCTTCCTCAGCTAGGTGAATGGGTAAGTGCTCTATTATATCGAAAAATGATGGAGGAAAAATTCTCTCAAGATGGCAAAGTGTAACAGCAATTTGGGATTGAAGACGATTTAGACCATCCACCTTTAGGGTTTTGAAACACAATTGCCTGAAGAAATTGCTTAACTCAATTAATGGTTCAACCACTTTCTTCGATAACAAATTTCTCACTGCTATTGGAAGTATTTGTTGCATGAGTATATGATTATCATGACTTTTCAGTCCAGATATGCTACGCTGTTTGAGGTTAACCCGACGAGAGATATTAGATGCGTAACCATCTGGAACTTTGATATTCTTTAGAAGTGTGCAGAATAGACTTTTCTCTCTATTGTTCATGGCAAAACATGCAGGAGGCAAATAATACTTGTTCCCAACCCTTTTCTGAGGATGTAGTGCCTTCCGAATTCCCATATCTTGCAAATCTCGGCGAGTATTTAAATTGTCCTTCCCTTTCCCATCAACATTTAATATCGTCCACAATACATTATCACACACGTTCTTTTCAATGTGCATCACATCAAGATTGTGGCGAATCAAATTATGCTTCCAATATGACAGCTCGAAGAAAATACTCTTCTTCTTCCAATTATGACCCGAGTCCTCATTTTCCTCCTTTTCTTTCCTCTTTCGATTCCGTTTGCTAGATTGTTGACGCTTAGAATTATGACCCTAGTTGTTGTAGCACATTAGCCCCTGATAACCGAGTTGGACATGGTTCGAATTCACGAGTGCCATCAAAAGACGCACTAGCTTTCCGAAATTTGTGACCCTCATTCAACCAGCGACGATGCCCCATGTAACATAATTCCTTCCGTTCTTCAAATATCGAGAACGAGTTGTGTGTTACAACAAGGACATGCTAAAGCGCCTTTCGTGCTCCATCCAGACAAAATTGCATAGGCAGGAAAATCATTTATAGTCCACAATAACACAGCATGCATTCAGAACATCTGATTAGTTTCTGCATCATACGTGTCAACACCGTTTTCCCACAATTCTTTCAATTCATCCACTACAAGGCGTAAGTAGACGTCAATGTTATTTCCCGGTGAAGAAGGACCATCGATGAGCAATGTCATCATCATATGAGGCTGCTTCATGCACAACCATGGTGGCAAATTGTATGGCATCATAATAACTGGCCAACTGCTATGAGAGACATTCATTGCCTTGAATGGATTGAATCCATCTGCTGCTAAACCCAGTCTGACATTGCGAGGCTCACTCGCAAACTTGGGATACAAATTATCAAAATTTTTCCAGACTGGAAAGTCAGCGGGATGGCTCATTTTGCCGTCATCAATTCGGCCCTCTGCATGCCATCTCATTAAAGAAGATGTTTTGGATGACATAAACAATCTTTGAAGCCTTGGAATCAATGGAAAGTATCTAACAATCTTATGTGGAATTCTTTGTTGCTTCTTCTTAACATCATTCTCCTCCCCCTCAAACTGTTTGTATCTAGGCATATGACACACTATGCAATCATCCATACCAGCTGTTTCCTTCCAATATAGTGAACAATCCCTTGGGCATGCATGTACCTTATGATAATCGAGGCCCAAGTCCCTAAGAAGTTTCCTAGTTGCATAAAATGACTTTGGCAAAGTTTCACCCTTTGGGAACGAATCCTTCAAAAGCTCAAGCAACATCGTGAAAGACTTGTCACTCCATCCACTAAGGCACTTGATGTGCAATAACCGAACAATAAATGAGAGCGTTGAAAACTTCTGACACTCAGGATACAACTCTCTTTCGGCCTCTTTCAATAAACTGAAGAATTTTTCGGTTTTCTCATCTGGACCTTGTTTAATACCAAAACTTGCTTCCTCATGAATAAAGCTTGGTGGAGGAAGTCCAAATCCTTCATATAGCATTTCATAAGTTTCATCACCATCGTTCAACTCAGTTTGCCCGACATTCACATTGTGTGGCACAGGCGATGACAAATTCTCCCCATGAAAAATCCAACTGATGTAACTTGGAAGAAACCCATTGATCATTAAATGTTCCCCTAACTGGCCTTTCTCCACCAATTTGACATTACGACACCGTTTACATGGGCATGTGACTTCATTCAACAACGGCTTATTTTCGCATGCAAATTTAATAAACTCCTTAACCCCTTGTATGTATTCCAGGTGCAACCTATGCTGATTCATCCAACTTTTATCCATCTGACTCCGTCTTACACTACAAATGTCACTACCAAATCAACAAAGTTCAAAATTACCGTTCCGTTTTAATTAATCTTAACCTCAATTAAGTACCTTATAATGCATGCAATATGACATCATTCACCTCTAACTGGTCTCTAATATGTTGGTTCATCCTACTTTCCCATTCAGGAATGCACAGTCTATATTGTAAAAAGCAGCTCATACCGCTCTGCTGCTCTGTTCATGCTCTAACGAAATTTCGCAGCATCTCCCCATGGTTCTCCAAATACACGACATAGACTAGGTGTACTGCTACACCTTGTCTAATATGCACTCGGAGAACAACGAGGAGTTGCTACAACGAAATCTCTACGAGATGGACTATAAGCAGTAGAACTACTAATTTACAATACAGACTTGTGCTCCTGAACTGTCCAAACTGGACAATCAGAAGAGCTTCATCAAGATGACTAGGTATCTCTAATGAAGATTCTGGACGGGTCTAAGGCTATTTATGCATGCATGCACCATAAATGATTGCACTCCGGTGGTGCAATCTAAATTAGTACTATCAAGCATACTAGAAGCATTTCTAGTATGAAGCATATTAATGAAGAAACCAAAAGTTTCTACAATGCTCTTGATAGATTATGATAGATTCAAGAAATACATTGCTCTCTTCAAATCCATCAATAATAGAATAGTTTTGGCAGGAACTCATGGATGTGGGAAGTTCAAACCCACTACCCAAACCAATAAGTGTACCAAAGCTCGAATACTTCTGGAGATGATATTCAAAAAACACCAAAGAGCAGCCACCATATGAGGAATCACATTCACAATCACAATCATATTAGTTGGGAATCACAATCACAATGCACAATCACAATCATAGTTATCCACGTAATAACTAGAATCACAAAAATATAAAGACACATGTGAGAAGTATTGTCTAGCTCTCTGAATTAATTTATCTGTTCCTAACTTTTAAAGTCAGCCAGGTACACTCATGATGTGAGCTATTTTACCTACTCCTAAGAACAGTGCTTATGTTCAAGATTTGTGATGGAACAATCAAGACAGGTTAGCCAGCTGGCATGGCTAGACGGTGTTCGGGATTGGCAAATATTACTACTCAACTCAAGTAAATATCTGAATTCTAACCTTCCTTTTATGATGATAAGAGCGATTTCCGATGTGATATATCGAATTATCACTGTATTAACCGGAACTGATACTCGACTGGATAAA